CGTGAGCCACCGCTCCTGGCTGGGCCTTCTTACTAGCAGGGAGTGGAGTAAGGATAACAGGGGAATGAGAAAACAGGGAAAAAAGAAAGTAAAGTGAGTGGGGGAGAGAATTTTGGTCTAGAGAGTAAGAAAAGTCTCCTGAATCTTCCTTTGTCTTGCGTTTGGAATAACTGCAAAGCACATGAAAGAGATTCAGATTGAGTAGGGCAAGATTACTTCAGAAGGTTTTGTTGCGAGTTTTGACACTCCAGATATGGTGTTTTTGAGAGCCCACATTAGATTCTAATCGCTTTTAATTTCTCATTGGCTGAAAGACAGTTGTTTCTCTGAATGCAATGCCGTGCTTAGGCCAACTTCAAGGGTGAGGTAGCTATTGTTGCTTTCTGAAAATTCCCCATTTTTTTTTTTTTTTTTGACTGAGTCTCCTTCTGTCACCCAGGCTGGAGTTCAGTCACATGATCTCAGCTCACTGCAACCTCTGCCTCCTGGGTTCAAGTGATTCTTCTGTCTCAGCCTCCCGAGCAGCTGCAACTACAGATGCATGCTGCCATGACCAGCTAATTTTTGCGTGTGTGTTTTAGTAGAGATGGGGTTTCACCGTGTTGCCCAGGCTGGTCTCGAATTCCTGACCTCAACTGATCCACCCACCCCGGCCTCCCAAAGTGCCAGGATTACAGGTGTGAGCCACTGCATCTGGCCAAATCCCCCATATTTTTAAGACTACGGATGTATATATTTTCAAGTTGTTTTCCAGGAAAGAAATACCAGCTTAGATTACCATCAACAGTGTATGAGGGTGCTCTTTTTTTGTTGAGTGGACAGATAGAGAAGTAGATGAATGCATGAGTGAATATAGACAGAAGGGAAATACTCTGAGAGTATTTAGGGGAGGATGGACCAAATGAAAAGGGATGGAAGACACACTCTTCGTAGGTACTTAACAAATTTTGGAGCTGTCTAAATTTGTTGGTTCCATCCCAGATACTTTTCGCCAGATAGCCAATCAAGGAATTGCTGAGGGATGAATTCTCTGAGGTGAGAGTGGGATTTATGAGACACAGTCACAAAGAAACCCATTCCACCTCTGTTTTCAGAAGATGCTAGATATGGACACTAGTAAGAGTTTTTCATATTTAAGAAGGCTCAGAGCCAGAAAACTGAAACCCAGGGCTAACATGACAAGGCCCACCAAACTTAGCCTGCCTTGCTTGCTTTTTATTGCTTACTTCTAGTTGATCTCAAAGTCCATATAGCTAAAAGTCATGCAACCAAACAATATACATCTAATCTGTCACTGGCTTCCTTATAGACAAAATCTCTGGCCTATATATTGCTATGGTAATAGTTGCTTATTTTTTTTTCCAGAAACTAGGGGGTCAGCTCTTATCCAGTTTAAACTACTTGAGACCACCAACCCTCTTTCTACCTCTCCCATTGGCTCTGGGCCTTATTACCAGGGAGTAAGGCTATCAGGAGAATGTGAAAGCAGATAGAAGGGGGAAAAAAAGAGTCACAGGCCTGTCAACTGGGCCCACACAAATGCCCAAGAAATGACTTTCTGACATCAGAGGGCCAAAACTGTACCTTCAGAGCATGTTAATTCTACCATTTTCTGAACCTCGATTATGCTTGCTCAGACCACCTATTACTTCATTTTTCCCCACTGCTAATCACCTTTCCCCACACCTTAGACCACCCCGCTTCTTTACCCTGTGAATATCTCTAAGCCCTATCTTCAGAGAGGTGTATTTGAAATCTGTTCATCCATCTCCTTGCTGGGCTTTCCTGTGAATAAAATCTCTTTACTGCAAAACTTGATATGGTTTGGCTGTGTCCCTACCCAAATCTTATCTTGAAATGTAGCTCCCGTAATCCCCATGTGTCATGGGAGGGATGCAGCATGGGAGGTGATTGAATCATGGGAGTGGGTCTTTCCCAGGTTGTTCTCATGATAGCAAATAAGCCTCATAAGAGCTGATGATTTTAAAAAGGGCAGTTCCCCTGCATACCCTCTCTTGCCTGCTGCCATGTAAGACGTGCCTTTTGCCTTTCACGATGATTGTGAGGCCTCCCCAGTCACATGGAACTGTGAGTCCATTAAACCTCTTTTTCTTTATAAATTTCCCAGTTTCAGGTGTGTCTTTATCAGCAGCATGGAAACAGACTAATTCACTTGTCATCTCAGTAACTGACTGACTGCACAATGGGTGGGATAAGCCTGGTTTGGTATTCAAACAAGAGTAGAGAGAATACAGCTTACTTTATTTTCATATTAATAAAATAATAACAATAAAGGTTAATAGTAATTAGGTCTTTTTCATGGTATATCTCATTAATATTTGCAAAAAATAAGAAGTATGTACTTGAATCAAATTATACGCAGACCTCAACCCAGGATGATAAGCCATTTGATGGTTCATATGTGCTGAGGATGTTTACTTTGGGGAAAGTGAAAATTCTGGGTGACATTTGATTTCTGCTTTTAGAAAGGAGTAGGTTGGGAACAAAGCTAGAGATCTGTGAGTGAGAAAGTGTGAAAAAGAAGCAGTGCAATTTTAGCATTAAGAGACTAGCAATCTAGTTTTAGCCCAAGACGAAGAAACTGAGACCCATAGGGTAAGATTTCCCGGGCGTCCAGCTGGTTGCAAACTGCTATGCCCAGTCTGCTCACTGAATAACGCTGATTCCATCCTATGAAGCTGAGTGAAGAGTAAGTGGTAAGGGGGGAAAAATCCTAAGGAGAACAGAACGGAAACACCATTCAGGGCCAGCTTGGAATCAATAATGATTAGACTCGTGTTTTAAAAGGGTGTTTCTGGCTATGGTGTGTAGTACGAACTACGAGAGAATAGGAGTTAAAGCTGGGAGACTAATTTGGAGGTTGTGGCAGGAATATGGATAGGGTGTGATAATGGCTTGGGCGAGGATGGTTGCAATGGCCAGAATTTAAATATATTTTGGATATAGAGCCAACAAGGCTTACTGAGGAATAAGTGTCTGCACAAAATGAAAAAGAAATCAAACATGATACCTAAGCAATAGGATGGATAGAATTCTTTTGCAGAGGAATTTTAGTTGCTTCCTAATACACATGTAGTAATTTTTGTCTCCTATTTTCCAGCATATGTATGAAGTGGTTACATGATAAAGATCTTGTGTTATTCAGGGAGAAGTCCATGGATGACACTCACATTTTTATGCCTTCCAAAACCATATATCCAATCACATATTTGTTATCTCCCCCTTGGATTTCTAAGAGACAATTTTTAAAATGAGACATTACTGCTGCCATCTTAGTCAAGCCTTGAACTAACGTAACAGCCTCCTAACTGGTCTATCTTGTCTTCTTAAAATTTTCTTAGTCATTCTCCACATGATGGTACAAGGGACCTTTTAAAATCGCAACTTGCTTTCCTGCCTAAAATCCTCTGATGGCTTCCCATTGTAATTTGAACAAAATCTTGTCTTCTTGCCTGGACCTCTAAGATCCTACAAGATCTGGCTCTGTCAGCTTCTCTGGCCTCATCAGCTACTCTTCTCTGGCCTCATTCTGTTCCTGCCTTTCTTTCTGCTCCTTGAATTTGTACAGCTGATTATTGCCCCAGGGTTTCTCTTCCTGCTGTTTCCTCTGTCTGAAATGCTCTTTCTCAAGATCTTCACATAGTTAGTTCTAGCTGATCATTCAGATCTCTGGTCATATAGCCCTTCAGCAGAGCAGCTGTCCCTGACCACACTCTAAACAGGTACTCCCAAAGATACTCTCTACAGCATTATTCTGCTTGCCTTTCTTTCATAGTGCTTCTCTTTAACTGAAATTGTCTTGTTTTCTTCTTCTTTGCCTTTTTCTTTTCTGGAATTCTCACCCTTGCATCCCTCCTACCTAAAACAGTATTGGCACACAGTAAGTAATAAGATTTTGTTGAATATATGATTTCCCACTTTGTGCAACATTTTGATAGGACAGAATTGGACATAGGCATAGTATGAGGTGATGACAACCTATGTCCCATCCAGTGACCAATACATCATGTGATAGCATTAATAAATTACAATTTAGAATCAGAAATGTTAAAAGAACTGTTCTAGTACATTGGGGAAAAGACAGTTAGCATATACTATATAAATACATGTGTGGCATAAAATATATCATGTGTAGACAGCCTATAACAGTGTTAGGCCCTCAATACATTTTTGTTGAGTGAATAAATGAATGACTGAAAAGTCTCTACATGATTTGACCAAAGGTAAAAGTGAAATGACTTAACCTTGACTAATTGGGATGTTTTTGTTCTACAATAGAAATTCTGCTGAGTGCAGGGGAAAAGCAAAGTTGAATCGAAGCAGACCCATTTTAAACAGAACTACCCTTGGCACCATAATTATGAAAGCAGAGAGTGACCTCTCCTTCCGTCTCGCTAGGTGTGGGGCAAGTCTGAGCACCTTTTTGTCACTTGCTCAGTGAGAGGTGAACACCTCACTCCACTGCCTTGGGTGATCCTTTGGAAGAGTCACGTAAGTCAGGCGATCACATAAATCTTATTCCCAATTACTCATATAACTAGTGAACATTCAACACGATAATTAAACACTAGCTTCATATTTCTTGACCCTTTTATTCTCATTAGGGCAGCATTAGCTAGTTATTAAACAAAGCGGGACAAATGTTTTTATTGAAATGAATATTAAGACAAATACCTGTTCCTAAAAACATAGCCAATTTGGGGATAAAATCAAATTCAATTTGCATTATTTTTGCTTTTCAAGAAATCCTAAACCAAAATGGTAAGGGAAAACAGAAACCTTCATATTTAAGGGCTATAAAATACCTTTCCTGAAAAAGAACAAATTAAAACTCATACCATATTTAAACCTATGAAAATAAACAATAAAAAATAAAAATAAACAAAATAGCTGCATTTAAGTGATGAATAGTAATCATTATGAGTAATAACAGTTAATATAATACCACCAACAGTAGTAATGCATCCAAAAATTCTTACCAAGCCACCACCAATGACAGCTACTTTTTTCCTTTGAACGTCAGATGAGTCCATAACTGCTGAAGTATTTTTCACAATGATTGTTGTCGCTGTCACTGAGGGACACTTATTTCTCTTAGTTTTTATGCCGCCCAAAGCCCAGTGCATTTATGAGCCAGCAGCAATGTTTAGTCAGGGCTAATTTCCCTTGAAAGCATTAACCCTTTAGTCGGCCAAAGTACAATCAGCTCAGCTCTAAGACAAAATAAATTCATTAGAATAACCAAATTTTAAAAAGATCCATCAGATTGGAGACATTCTATCTTTTCTACCTTCTGTGTAAGACACGGAACTTTTTAAGCAGTCTTCTGGCTTTTCTTCTTCTTTTTCTACAGTACATATTCTTAGTTTCATTTTCATTCATGATTAACCATGAATGAAGCCTTTCTCATCTGAAGTCCAAAACTACCTTATATTATCTCCCTTAGAGAGTATGATGACATGGTTCCATAATTCATCCTGTGGATCATTTTTGTTACTAAGACCAATCAAGAATTTCCTCTAAAGGGTCCTCATAGACTGTCTTTAACAGGCTTTACTAGGGAAATTGTTTTGCAAGGCCTTAATATTCTCCTGATCAACATTTTGAATTGTGTAACTGATCATACTTCCCTTTTTTCTTTTTTCAGCCCAGATGCTAGAAAATTTAGAATTGAATTTGCACACTACCACTAGGGGAGGTGATTGACACAATGCTTCTCTAAATTCATTCCGAATCACGATTTTTTTCTGGAACATGATGTGGTGTAATATAAAATAAGAACATAAATGATCATGTTTCTTTACTTCCCGTTAAGCTCATAAAGAATTCAGAGCATTTTTCCCTCTGGTTAGGAACTAGAGTTAAATTACATTCAATAGTGACCCCTTGTGGATAAGTGTGATTAGGTGTTCCATTTATTTTGAGTAGGTAATACATTAACATGGTATGAAAATTTAAAAGACACAAGAGTAGACTGTGAACAGTGATCCTTCTAACCTTGATCCTTGGCCACCTATTTCTGCTGCCCAAAGACAACAACTGTTTTGGTGTGTGGGTTACTACATTATTCTACGAGCTTATTATGTCTTTCTTGTTCTTTCCTTGTTTTCTATCTTCTCTCTCTCTCCTTCTCTCTTTCTCTCACTCTTTCCCTTCCTTCCTTTCTTTTTAAACATACATTTTAAAACTTGTTCCACACCATATTTTTTACAACATATAGCTTGAGAAGTCTTCAATACCAATATGTAGAGAACTGTATTGTTAAAAATTCTTTGAAAAATTATGAACGATAACACAAATGAACAGTAAAGTTACTGTAAAGCATGCATCCATGTTACTACCATTTAGGTCCAGAGACCGTTGCCAGAATCCCAGAAGTCTAGGTGCCCTTGCCAATCATCCCTCCTTCATGGAGGTGACTGCCACACCAACTTTCTTTGCTTTTATTTATAACTGTGCCATCATAGATGCATCCTTTTTTTGAACTTTCCTATACGAACTTTTACTATTTATTTTTTTGTAACTTGCTTCTTTTTCTCAGTATTATATTTCTTAAGATTCATTTGTGTTATTGCATGTTTTTCTAGTTCATTCATTTTTATCATCATATACTATTTATCCATTCTACTGTTGATCGACGTTTGGGGTGTTTCCAAATTTTTAATATCATGAATAATGGTGTTGCCATAAATATTCTTGTGTATACAATGTTGTGTACATATGCGTGAGTATCTCTAGGATTCATATGCTGTTTATGCTTTCTTTTCCTTTTTCTTTTTTTTTTTTTTTT